ACAAACACCTTTAACAAACACCTGTAACAAACACCTGTAACAAACACCTGTAACAAACACCTGTAACAAACACCTGTAACAAACACCTGTAACAAACACCTTTAACGAACACCTTTAACGAACACCTTTAACAAACACCTTTAACAAACACCTGTCTGAACTGAGCTCATACACGCACAAGAGAGTTCTTTAAATTATTTTTCAAAGGTTAGAAATATGATCAATTTGTAAATAACAGTAAAATAAAACTCGCTCGGACACGTCAGCTCAGAAGTGCAGGTGGGCGGGGCACGCTGTATAAACCAAAATCAGCTGTTCCGACCAAAACTTCTAAACAATCTGCCACTCAAACAGTCAACAGTAAAAGAGGACCCAGACTGCCTGCCACTCAAAGGCTCATGGGTAAAAATCTTTTACACGTGTCCTTCTGTTAGTAAAATACCTCATGAACCACTGGACAGATTGTAATCAAATACTCAGAAAGAAATGATTAGATGTACGTCTACAATTCTTTAGGAGGCAATCTGATTCAAGATGGCCGTCAGCCTTACAGAACCCAAATATGGGCATATGTCAGGTTTTATACATATTAAGATTAAGACTGGGTGTGGTAGTAGCTGAGAGTCACGACACATAGGTCAAAGGATGGATTCATTTCAAGGCTCGACTAAAATGACATGAAAGTGGCGGGTGACAAGCAGTCCTTAAAGGAATGGTAACCCTCGTCTGTCTGTTACCCCCCCCCCACCACCCAGTTTGACAGAGGGGGTGTGAATCCCAGGTTTGAGCCATCAGCTGTGTTCCGACAGGATCACAAGAAGTCGTGACCCAGTGGGTTCGAGGCAATGAATGGACCTCTGGACACTGAAATGAGTCCCCTGGAAACAAGCGGGTCATAACAACGAATGCCTGGTGGGGTGGGGGGTGGGGGTGGGGCACAAAGCTGTCACCGAGCATGGGGTGGGTGTTGAATGCAGATGCAAAGGAACAATACTGACATGCACACTTCTAGATATGTTTGTAGGGAGTATATTCACCATATTGTGTACGGTGAGGTTTTCACTTCTTACAGCTAGATTTCCTGTGAGCAGACTAACGCTGCGCTGGCTCGCCCTCTGCCGTGGAACAAGAGTGGGAGAGAGACTTGGCAAACAGTGTCAAGGAGCACTGAGGGGGGGGGAAGAGGATCAAAGCTGCACAAACAATTCTTTGGACACACAGTGGAGAGAAGAGCTTCACTTTCTAAACGTGTCCGTCTCGTTGAGAAGAACAAGTTTAAAAAGCTTCAGATGCTCCTACAGGCCAATCGCTTCAGCGTGACGACGTCAACAACTTGCCTTTTTTTTCTGAGGAGGGTTGTTGGTGTGTGGGGGGGTGCTGCAGTCTATGTAGCCTGCTCCATAATGAGGCTCTGCAAAAGGGGACACAGAGCCGAGGTCTCCAACAGGGCCCTGGTTGGAGCAGTGGAAGGAGTCTGCTGGAGAAAACCCTCCATCCACCTGTGGGGGGCGCCAGTCAGTGCCTGCAGGATTCCCAAGGTTGGCGTTGAGGGGGGAGCAGGTGTATATGAGGTTGAACTCTGTCCTGAAGGCCTGCTCTCTGTTCTGTGAGTCTGAAGCTGGACCTGACCCCCCCACAGATGACTGGCCTTGGGAGTCGTGGCCTGAAACCACCGCAGGAAGAGAAAATTCCTCTGAGGCGACAGCCACAGGACTCTCCATGCTGGAGGGGAGGGACAGGTCCATGAACTGAGGCCTGGAGTTGTCAAAATCAGCCTGAGGACGACAAAGAGACAAACCAGGCTCAAGAAGCACGTCAGGAACATCTGGACCAGGTGTAAAGTGTGGACACACCTCTGGAGAGATGGACTCCTGCCGGTGCACAGGAGACGCCTCAGGAGACGAGATGTTCTACACACAGAAACAAAGGACATTGTCTGAAAGACGTCTGGACATGCTGTCCACGTAGTTAACATTAACACTGGTCTCCTATGAGCAGCCGCAGGACGAGCACCGAGTCCGGATCATCAAGGTCCACAGTTATGGTCATTTGTTCACGTCAACATCTGGAGTCCAAACTCCTTTTGATGAATTTAAACTTGTTCTTTCATTTTTCAAGACTTTCTTCTCAGTTGAACTAGTGTCCAACTGTGAATGCCAAAGATGACCATTATAATGAAAACAAATTAAAATCTGAATTTTGAAGGAAAACAAGTCATTTAGAATAATCAGTAACTAATCTATAAATAAATCAAAAACAGCTGTTAGGTCAACACTAGGTCACTCAAAATGATCCAAACTCAAGCGGTTTCCTCTGAGCGAGCACTGCTCTACACGTGGACGGACGCGCTGCAAGAGGAAATAACGGAGTTCCCTCACACGATGGTCGTCACAGCCGTGCCCTTACTTCAAACTCAAGTGGCATGTTGCAGCTGCTGGGGGGCAGCGAGGGCACCCGTGAGTAGGCCAAGCCGTTGGGCAGCAGGAGGCCATGAGGGGTGTGGAGCAGCAGGTGAAGGGAGTCCTCAGCGAGCGGCGGTGTGATCGGTGACAGGGGGCGGAGCAGGTGGTCCAAAGGTGCTGGTGTGGTCTCCGTCAGGTACTTGTGGTGGCGCTTTTTAAACGGAGCACTGACCTCTGATGTGACAAACAGGAAATGTAGATGAACAACTAGACAGAGCCTCGTTAACTCGTTTATTTAGGCAGCTGTGATGTGTTCTCTTCAACTTTTACGTGCACGTACCACTGCAGAGGGGGTTGGGGGTGGACCGGCTGCTGGTGCTCTGCTGGGATGAGGTAGACTCCGTGCCGTCCTCCATGCTGGCCGAGCAGCTCTCGTCCTCCACCTGTTTGATCCATCTCTGCGTGAAGAGCGAGAGCACAGCACACGACACGTTATGCACCTGTCCAGGTGGAGGTCTGTGGACATGGACTGCACAAACAAAAACCCTGTTCGACTGTTGACCTTGATTTATGACCTTGACCTTGGAGCTAGGATGCAAAGTGTATACGACAGTCCGTCTGGTGGTGATACAGAAGTGCTTGAAGTTTTGTTAAAATATTTTGAGCGGATCTGAAGTTACGGGCGGGACAAGAGAAAGTTTCCATACGTATGTACAGACACGACTCCATGACACGTCTGCCTTGGACAGGCGTGTCAAAACAGCCACGTTACCAACAAGCTCACGGTAAACGCCAGAAATGTTTATGTAACAGGAAGAAACCCTGTGTCTCTAAAGTTTCTGCAACAACAAACTGCATGGTTTTCATTCTACACCTACATTAAAATATATCAAGTGACTGAAATTTGTCAATAAAATGAAAAAGAGCATAAAAGTTTGTAGCTAGCCCGTTAGCGTAGCGCAGTCCTTCTCAAATGGTGGGGCGCGCCGCCCCGGGGGGCCCGGGGCAATGCCAGGGGGCCCGGGGCAATGCCGGGGGGGCGCATGTGACCCTAGAAAACATGCTGTTTTTGCCACAGGGAGTATTTTTACCATTCTCATTTTGTCGCGTGCGTTCCTAATAATAAAGTTATGAACAAATATGGCCGCCTTGTGGTTTTGGAGCCGTGCATGAGCCGTGTCTCTCCTCTGCTGCTGACACGATGAATAAACTCCGACCGACACCTCCTCCGTCCTCCGCTGCTGGTTTTATGATGCTCTGGACGTCACATGCAACAAAGAGTAAACACAAGCGAGAGCGACACCTGCCCCCTCTTTCCTCTTTTGTGTTTAGTTTTATCGATGAGTTTGTCAAAGCACAATTTACAGAAGTAATGTTTAATAAATGTTAGAACTCGATTCTTTGCTAACAAAATAAATTCTCCTCCTCAGTGAAGCTGTTTTTGACGCTCTGGACGCTCGTCACCCACAGCAGGTGACGAAGAGTCAACTCAAAGCGAGAGGGTTACCTGCTCCTTTCTTCTTTCATGCTGACAATTTTTTTTTTGTTTTATCGATGAGTGTGCTCACTGATCCTGACGTCCTCATTTTGATTAAAAATAAAAATAAAATTAGCATAAATTGTTTTATTCTAGGGCAGCACGGTGGCGCAACTGGTAGAGCTGCTGCCTCTCAGCGAGCAGGTCCCTGGTTCAAACCCCGGTCCAGGGGCCTTTCTGGGTGGAGTTTGCATGTTCTCTCCGTGCATGCGTGGGTTTTCTCCAGTTTCCTCCCACAGACCAAAAACATGCATGTTAGGCTGATTGGTAACTCTAAATTGTCCCTAGGTGTGAGTGAGAGAGTGAATGGTTGTTTGTCTCTATGTGTCCCTGTGATGGACTGGAGACCCGTCCAGGGTGTCCCCCGCCCCTCGCACAGTGATTGCTGGACATGGGCATCAGCGACCCCCGTGACCCAAAATGGAATAAACGGGTAAAGAAAATGGATGGATGGATGTTTTATTCTATTTAGTTTTGTAGGCCAAAGTGTTTTATAGAACATTACTGAATTAAAATGTTGCTGATCAATTTGAATTTATTGTTATTTATTGATTACATTTAATTGTATTTTTCAGTATCAAATGGTCCAAAATGTTTACTTCTTTCTGGGGGGGGCATACCAGAAAATAACTGAGAAGCACTGGCGTAGCGCCATGTAGGTCTGAGCTGAGCTTCTACATTCTCTGCTCCACGTCCTGAAGCAGCGGAGCTGCGTGGGGGCTGACGGAGTACTCAGGTCTGTTGACAGGGCGGGGCGCCCTCCTTGGATAATGGTGGAGAAACAAACAAACTGCGAGTCGTTTCTTTATGCGACTCGTTGCCAGCATGGGCCCCAGACTGCAGCGGATTATAGGAGATTCATTTCCAACACTCGGTGTGGAACAGTGTGACCTCACACATACAGTGGAGCTTCAAAGTTAAAAGTATAAAGTTTATTCATTTAAAAAAAAAAAAGTTTCTGAACTCTTTAGAATTGTTTATATTTCGATCCACCTCCTCAGGACAAGACTCAGCTGTTCACCTCCACCTCACAGAGAAGGGACACTCTGTTGAGGACCAAAACGTGCACATTTTGGACCGAGAACACAGATGGTTGGGGGGGGGGGGCGAAGGAAGCAATTTATGTAAAAAGAGAAAAGCCGTCTCTTAACAGAGGAGGAGGCCTCAGATTTCCACTTTCAAAAACATATAATGCAACTTTAAAACTGATCCCCAGCCAGTTTTCACACTTGATGGGAACAGAGGGGCCTCATCTGTGAATTAGAGGAACAAAGACCTACTGTTAAGGTGTTGAGGTGTGAACTGTCAATCTACATGTGTGTGTGTCTTATCTCACTCAGCCTTATAACCTGAACCTCTCACTCTTTGCTCTTTGAATAGAAGATGATCCTCGGATGAGGAGAGAAACGTCTTCTGTTACAAATAAAGTCCAGTTGTTTTTGTATTGAACACTTTTTGAATTGACCACGTTTAATATTTTGTCTCGTTTGTGTAACTGGTTCTCTTCATCTCCTTTTAGGACTTGTGTGAAATCTGAAGATGTTTTAGGTCAGATTGATGCAGAATATAGACAATCATAAAGAGTTCACAAACTTTGAAGCACCACAGTAGGTTTGATCCAAATGGCTATCGCTGCATCACTTGGTATGAAAAGTGCACGCCTTGTATCTATTCAGAATTAAAAACCGAAGCAGGGTCTGTAAATGAGCAGTCGGCTGAACGAGTGTCAGACAACCGTTTGATCCACAGTGCAAGGACACACAAATGTCCCTCGATGGGAACAAATTGATGAAGTTAATGTGTTTTTGTGATTCCGTCACCTTTTTGTAGCAGCCGTAGGTGCCGTCCATGCGGAGTGGGCGGGGCCTGTGTCTCTCAGGGTTAAAGGGTGAGCCGAAGCGGACGTAGTGTCTGGGGGCTGTACAGATGAGTGAGGGGTGAGATAGACCTGGAAGCATGTTGAGGGTGGTGGCCAGCACTGTGGGGTCAGTAGTTATTCGTAGTGGGCGCTCTACAGGAAGCTCCTGGGGCAGCTTCTCCCCCCCAGGGGTTTTATCGTTCAGCCACTCCGTCACCAAGTACTGAAAGAAGAAGGACATTGTGTCAGTGAGCACGTACGAAGCGCACGTTTGTGAACATGCAGAGGAGCGGACAGGCTGAACCTTCTTCGTCTTGGGGAAGCGCAGGCTTCCTCTGTGCATGCTGTTTGGGCCCTGACTGTCTCCGTCCAGGAAATGTCCCCCTCCACCCAAGCTGCAGTCTCCATGTTCTGAACCGTATGGACCCTGAGATCCCTCGTCAGTCTGAGCAGCCCCCTGTTCAGCCGATGCCTGAGCTGCTGCCATCGCTGCTGCAGCAGCTGCTGCTGCCGCCTGCTGGGCAAGAGCCTGGCGCTGCCGCCGTGCACGCTGGGACGAGCTGGACCTGTAGCGAGATATCCGACTCTTGGACCGGGGCTTTGTAGGTCTCACAGGTTTAGGGGGAGCAGCCAAGGCAGACAGAGTGGATGATGGGAACTTTTCTCCAACAGGTGGCGCCTCCTGTTCAACAACGTACGACAGATGAACAAACAGGAAGACACCAAAGCTACTGGTTCCACCAAAACAAGGACTGCGTCTGACCATGAAATAGGAGGCTCGCCGTGTGCTGACCCCCACCCCAGGTACAGAGAGGGTCTCTGCTGGGTTTCCAGAAGCTTCCTCAGCTTCATCCTTGAGTTCAGCTCCTCCAGCTCTCCTCCTCCTGTCCAGGCTGCCTGGAGTCTGAAGCAGAAGCAAAAGTCTGTCATGACAGGATTTGGTTCTGTCTCATTGCATTGACATCTACAACTGATTCAAGATGGCTGCCACCGCTTAGGGACCTGAGAAATGCATTTTACAGTTACTCAGATAAATGTAGTGTGATGGCATCCTTTCCACCTTTCTCCCAACTTCTCCAGCAACATGTCATCCCTCAATACCAGTTTGTAACTTTAAACACGCGGCACTCCGATGTGAATGTTTGTATTAGGGGTGTGAATCTCTCAGTGACTGGCGATCTGATTCGATTCTGATTTTTTTCTGTCACGATTCGATTCCAAATCAATTTTTCGATTCAGAAACGATTTTTCTATTGAAATGGTCATAAATTTTGTTTCTATTGTGTAACTGACAAGCTGAAAAGAATAAACAACAATGTAAACAAATACAACATTTATTTAAAACAATCATTTTAGTTCCTTACTGTATCAAATATTTTTAATTCATTTTATATTTATACCAAAAATAGGAAAAAATATAGGAGTGCATAAAATTCTGTAACTTAAATTACCAGTATTAGCTTTTGCTTGGATTAAAAAAAAAAAAAAAAATCTATGAACAAATAATCCATCCATCATCTTTACCCACTTCTTCCTTTTCGAGTCACTGGTATCACTGGTTCCCATATCAGCCATCCCTGTGTGAGAGGTGGGGACACCTGGACAGGTCTCCAGTCCATCACAGACAAATAATTCAAAATATATAAATATCAAAGTAAACAGACTTCATCTACCAGACACAGTACATCAACCTTTAACATAAAATACAGACTTCAGTTATTTTAACCATATTGCTCTAACATTTGTTATATTTTCAAAACTTAACCTAATATGAAACATACAGACTTCAGTCTTAACCATATTGATTCATATTTAGTAAATCTTTAACTAAGTTTAAAAACCTGCACTAAAACTTGTGAACTGTAATAATTTATAAATCATAAACTGTCTCATTTAGAAGTGGCTCCAGAGTAGGAATGCACGATATATACGGTACACGGTAGAACCGATAGAAATTTATCCTACAATAGAGATCTGTCTTCTACCGGCTAACTGCAGTAACGCTGTGTCTGAAGTAAAATCAGAGTTGTCAGATTTAATCGTTACTTTTTTTTGTTGAAAACTGTTTGTAAGTGGCGTTAAAGTCTTTTCTTCGAGAGCTAAGTAGTGAAGCTACAAGCTAACTACGTCCGGCTTGCCGTAGTGTAGCCGTATTCTGACGCATGCGCAAAACGCTGAGTTCCATCGACAGTTGTTGTTTTTCCCATCGAAAGTTAAAGTAAGCGTTGGTCATCTTTAGAGAAACCTGCTCTCTGATCTGTGAAAGAACTCTGTGTTGTGTGATTTTACTGAGAGACCCTCTGGTCAGAGCCACAGACTCATTTTGTGTCAACTCTCCATTAAAGCAGGAGGCGCCCACTAGAGGTTTGGAGGTGAAGTGTTTCAGTTGCTGCTCTGTTGCTCTTCATTTATTAAGACTGGAAACTGTTAAGAGTTAACAACATATTCTTTTGTTTAAAACATATGGCTAAAACTACATTTGATATATTTTGCTCTGTTTTGCACTACAAGCAAGAAGCCTAATACTTGATTTGTTTATTATTTTAAAACTCTCTGGACCTAGTAGTGGAATTTTCTTAATTCAAAATATATGAAGGCAAAAGGACACCCTACGCTTTTTTAAAAATTCCTATAAAGTTTTATACAAAAACATATTGCGACATATGTCGTTATCGCCACCCTTCACAATACATATCGTGATATGAATTTTATGCCATATCGCATGTTCCTACTCCAGATGTGTCTCCTGGCTTCAGCCTGTTAAAAAGACAAATTACATTGTTTGTTTTATAACTTGTCTATAAGTTTTAGTACAGTATGAGAACACGGTTACCTCTGAGCTGCAGCTGGTAGCATCAGAGCTAGGGACGGGGCTGATCCGATCCAGTATCGGTTTCCAATACCAGCATAATTTACGTATCGGATTTTCCCGATCCAACCTGCAGATATTTCTGATCCATGCTGCATGTTGGCTTCAAACTATGGACTGGATTTCCTGAACGGAGGCGTGTCTCATGAACCCAGAGTAATAAGACCCGCCTCACATTCAGGAAATCCATTCCATAGTTTGCAGCAGCTACAACTTTGATTTGCAAATCCATTTCTCATTAAGGCCAGGATCCAGTAACTCAATGCTTTTTCTCTTTGATTGCATCTCTGCAAACACTGGCTAAACAAGAACTTCCTGTTTTTAAATGACTGTAAAACAGAATGGATTTTATTTGGTGACAAAGATGCAGCTGACCTGTGAAATTTGAAGATTAACTTCAGTGACAGTGTGAATAACCTTGGGGTGACCTTTGATAAGGCTTTACACTTTGACAAACATATCACCTCTGTTGTCCGGTCTGGATTTTTTTATTTATCCATTTATCCATTTATCCATTTATCCATTTATCCATCCATCCATCCATCCATCCATCCATCCATCCATCCATCCATTTTCTTCCGCTTATCCGGGGTCGGGTCGTGGGGGTAGCAGCCTAAGTAGGGAGGCCCAGACTTCCCTCTCCCCAGCCACTTGGTCCAGCTCTTCTGGGGGAATCCCGAGGCGTTCCCAGGCCAGCCGACAAACATAGTCCCTCCAGCGTGTCCTGGGTCTTCCTCTGGGCCTCCTTCCAGTGGGACGTGTCCGGAACACCTCACCAGGGAGGCGTCCAGGAGGCATCCTAACCAGATGCCCGAGCCACCTCAACTGGCTCCTCTCGACGTGGAGAAGCAGCGGCTCTACTCTGAGTCCCTCCCGGATGATCGAGCTTCTCACCCTGTCTCTAAGGGAGAGCCCAGACACCCTGCGGAGAAAACTCATTTCGGCCGCTTGTATCCGAGATCTCGTTCTTTCGGTCACAACCCAAAGCTCGTGACCATAGATGAGGGTAGGAACGTAGATCGATCGGTAAATTGAGAGCTTCGCCTTTTGACTCAGCTCTCTCTTCACCATGACAGACCTGTACAACTGACCTGTTTTTTTATTTACGCCTTTTAAAAAGGTCAAACCCTTTTTAAACCATTGCGACTTGAGAAGCTGTTCATTCTTTCATCAGTTCTCGGCTCGATTATTGTAACTGTGTGTGTCGTGCACCTCAGTCATCTCTGAGCCGCCTCCAGCTGGTTCAAAACGCAGCAGCCGCTCCTGGACGGGACCACGTCACACCTGTTGTACTCTCACTACATTGGCTTCCTGTCCGTTTTAGAATAGATTTAAACTTTTATCATTTGTTTTCAAAGCTCTGAATGACCTCGCTGCTCCTTATAGAACAGAGTTGTTCAGCTCCAGGTCTCTGAGGTCCGACAGCTCCTGCTCTCTGTTCCCAGCACAGAATATAAACTCTGGGGGACCGTGGCTTTTCTGCAGCCGCACCTCGACTCTGGAATAAACTCCCACTTGATCTACGTCAGATTACTGAACTGGGCCCTTTTAAATCGAAGCTTAAGACTTTTTTATTCCAACAGGCTTTTAGTGCTTAAATATGTTTTGACGTTTCTGGTTCTCTTTTTGTTATTTTGTCGTGTTTTTCTTGCTTTTAACTTGTTGTCATTTTAATTATTGTTTTTGTTAAGTGCTTTGGTCACCATCACCGTGGTTGTGTAAAGCGCTACAGAAATAAATAAATGAAATGAAAACATGAATAAATACATGAGGACTGAGCAGCACTGTGGCTAACAGCTAACAAACTTTTCATGTAAACATGTCCGCTGTGTGGTAAGTATTTTACACTAGAAACACAAGACAGCAACGTGCACTGTCTGCAGAGCCGCTGTACCGAGGAGGAAGCGCCGTCGCGACCTACAATACAAGGAACATAATCAAACATAGCGCCACATGAAACCGCAGTAAAGTTAGTTTTAGGTTGGCCATTTGAGCTCCGGGGCTTCAGCGTTGTGTTCTTCTCGTTCAGTCCAAAGAAGGCAGCCTGGTCTCGGTCAGCTCCGTTCAGTCTGCTCGTCTCTGAGGAGGGACAGACTGAACGGAGCTGACCGAGACCAGGCTGCCTGCTTCAGATTGAACAAGAAGAAGACGTCGCTGAAACCACGGAGCTCAAATGTTTACAGAGAAGTTTATAAACTTCATCATTAATGACCAACCACTATCAGTTGTAGAAAACAGGATTTCTCAGCTTGATACTTGCAGCCAAGATATAGTTTACCCTCCAGGAGATATTTATCAGAACAACAGTAGACAATCATAAAAAACATGATTTGAAAATTACAAGAAAATGATATATATTAAAGAGAAGAAACAAACAGCTACATTATAAAGTGATGTAAGATAGTAAAAACAGGAACATGTCTGTTGGTTTATGACATGAACTTAGCAGATGTTTGAAGACATTGATTGGAGAGCCCGACCCAAAGTCTTCAGGCTTATAATATCTGCCCCTTATTTAAAGAAAATATATAAAATAACTTTAAACAATCACTTAAATTAATAACTTTAATATCCACTTTAAAACTAGGAATAAAAACGAACATGTTTTGTGTTAGCAGAATATAATTCTAACTTTAAAACTTATCCAACATTAATAAAACTTAGCTCAAGGTGCCTTTTTGGACATGCATGCATTATTTGTACAAATTGTACTTGAGAGCAGATTATTACAGCCTTGTATAAAATCAATGACGGTTGCCATTGTATTTTAACTTGTTTAAAAAATAATTGAATTTTTACGCATCTTTTATGACTGTTGTCATCACTATTGTTAAAAATTCAGGTGTCTCTTGTAAATGAGTCCCAGAGGCTCATTGGGATTAACCAGTAGAAATAAAGGTTTAATGAATAAAATAAGGATGATGATATCGGAACGGTATTGGCCGATATCCAGATTTAGGTATCGGGATTGACTGGATCGGAAGTAAAAAATGTGGATCGGTGCATCCCTAACCAGAGCTTCTCCCACTTCATTTTTGTTTCATGGTGGAGTTGAGGCGCAACTTTATCACTAAAAATCTACATGAAGGAATAACGTACGTTGGATCCATCGTATTAAAATAAAGCTGAACCCGTCACCTTCACTGAGCTGTCTCATCATGAATCCTTTGTGATGCAGCAGGAGATGGAGGAAAATCTTGCTGGTCGCTGCTTCACTTTCATCTAACATGAATTTTGTCGTATTTCCAAAATAATGTACTGCAATTTTATTTTACACTTCTTGCAAACAGCTGTGTTCTTGTTAATCTCTGTCTTCCCCAGAACATTGTAGGATCTGAAATGATGTTTAAAGCTGAAGCAGCGAGTTGAATCACGCTGTCTCCTCCTCCATACTGGCAGGCTCCATTCAGATAAAGGGAGCTGGATAACTAGCTGCTGTACGGTGGCCTGCACGGCTCAATTCTACAGCGGCCGAGTGGACACATAATGGGATATGCTGCACCCTCGGGAGTAAGAGCCTAAAAAAATAAAACTTAAACGCATTTTAAAATTGATTTATGGGCCTTTAGAATCGATTCAGAATCGCCAGGACTAAGAATGTAGTTTCTTTAAAAAATGGATTTTTTCCTGCACCCCTAGTTTGGAGGTCTGGAGATGAGTGTTTTTCTGGACCAGGTGGCCTTTACAGGCTTGTATGTTCACACTAAATAAACTGATAGCGTGTGTGCACACCAGCCTCTTTTAAAAAACACATTTGTTTCTTACTCTTTTATTGGAGATGTTGATCCCATTTTCTTCTACATCTCCTTCCTCTCCTTCCTCCACTTTAATGCCGTCCTGCGTTTTCTCCTAAACAGTGGCAGGTAGAGAGTCAGAGGCGTTTGTTGTCAAAAGTCTTGGTGCTACCATCAAGATATTGGGACAATCTTGAGACTCAAACCTCCGCGTCACTGCTGCCCTGCTGCTGCTCATGGCTGCTGCTGCTGCTGAGCTGACAACTTTCCAGCTCCTTCCTCTGAGCTTTTCTCCGTCGGGTCTCAGCTCCTACAGGAGGGGAGGGGAGGGCCAGGGTGGGGGGACTCAGCAAGCTCTCCCTGGGACTCAGGTTGTGTTTCTGCACAGGGCAGTTCTGGTTGCCCTTATGACAGGCGCAGTCCACTTTATAATTACTGATGAATTGTTGGGAGAGAACAAGGAGAAGGCGGAGTTACAGAAGGCAATGCAGACCAGTCCAGTGAGAAGCAGGACTCACCAGTTGTTGAACTCATAATCAAATCCAATCGTGACCTCAGAGTCTTTTGTAATCTGACTGATTGCATAGATGCACAGATGGATCATGCCCTCAGCGATCATGTGTCGAACCTGCACACATCAGTGGAATATAAGGCATGAAATGATTTGGAGCTTGAGCTGAAACAGGCTGGCGTTGCTCCAAGTCTGACCTCAGCGTTGGGCGTGCAGGATCTCCTGATGAAGCGGGCATCGTTTCCAAGCGTCCTGGCATCGACACATATCTCTACGTTGTTAAACTTGGAGTAGAAGAGCACAAACGGATACGGTCTGGGAACACAAGGGTTAACAGATATAAAAAACAGGTGAGTCTGCTTTATAAAACCTGATCAGGCTAATTAAGTTGTTTAGCAGTTGAGTTAAACTGTGACACCTTACTTTTTGAAAAAGTGTCCGTTGACTTCAAACTGCTGTCTGAGCATAACTTTCCCCCGGTATTCAATGATCAGGGTGTCTGGTTCCAAGTTTCTGGCTGCTCGCAGGATCTTCCTGTGTTTTTGGACTCGAGTTACTCGTCCCAGCTGGAGCTTTGTTCCAATTGAAAACACACAAAGGAAAGTATTTTATACAAGATGAAGGACAAAAACCACTGATTAGCTTTAAGCAGACGACCCTCAAGTATTCATGGAGCGTACGTCTACATCTGATTACCGATTGGAGGAAATTCATTTCAACATGGCCTCCACAGCTAAACACTTCAGTTTTACACACTTTGGGCTTAAGTTTGGCGAGGTGATAGCAGGGAGTCATCCCCAGTTCCTCCACCATAACCCTCAGCACAGGCTCCCCACAGGGCTGTGTGTTGAGCCCCCTCCTGTTCACTCTGCTCACGTATGACTGTGCACCTACCCATCCAAGCTGTCACATTGTATCCAAGATGAGTCCAGCTACATGCAGGAGGTGGAACACCTGGACAGCTGGTGCAAGAAGAACAACCTTCAAATCAAGGCGAAGAAGACAAAAGAGATGGTTGTGGACTTCAGAAGGAACAAACACACCTACACCCCCCTGAACATAAGAGGATCTGCGGTGGAAGTGGTCTCCAGCTACAAGTACTTGGGTGTACACATGAACAACAACCTCAGCTGGAGCAACAACACCACCAGCCTGATCAAGAAAGATCATCAGGGACTCTACTTCCTCAGGCGGCTGAGGCGAGCTGGTCTGGAAGCTCAGTCCTCACCTCCTTCTACAGGTGTGCAGTGGAGAGCATCCTGTGCTCCAGCATCAACGTGTGGCATGGAGGCTGCACAGCTGCAGAAAGAAAAGCTTTGCAGAGAGTGGTGAAGGCTGCACAGAAGATGTTGGAGTCAGTCTCCCCACCATCACAGACATCTACACCTCCAGATGCAGGAAGAGGGCCACCTGCATCATGAAGGACCTCACTCACCCAGCACACACACTTTGTCCCACTCCCCTCAGGAAGGAGGTTGAGGAGCATTAAGTGTAGAACCACTAGACTGAGGAACAGCTTCTACCCTGAGGCTGTTAGACTCATGAATCTCTAACCAGGATAATCACTGTGATGCCTCTTGGTTGTTGATGTGTGCTGCTGACTATCCATGATGCTGATAATTTCATGTTGCTGTGTTCATTGGTCCTCATCTGCTCACACAGACTCATGTTCGTGCTGCTGATGTTTTGGTGCATTGTTTTTGTACTATTAGTGTTTAGTGTAATCTTAGTTTAGTGAATGTAATATATTCTTAGTTCATGACTTGGCTCTTGCCGTGTGATGGACTTGCGATCTGTCCAGGGTGTCCCCCACCCCTCGCACAGTGATTGCTGGACATGGGCACCGGTGACCCCCGTGACCCAAAATGGAAGAAGCGAGTAAAGAAAATGGATGGACTTGGATCTTACTAATGTTTTTCTTTACAATTTGTGTTTTTGTTGGATGTAACTGGGACCCTATGTACATAGCTTGTGAAGGTGGGGAGACTGACTCCAACATCTTCTGTGCAGCCTTCACCACTCTCTGTAAAGCTTTTCTTTCAGGCCGACTTATCAAATTTCTCTTGGGATATGTGTAAGCTAAGGAAAAGCTTTGTCTATCGCTATTCACTTCTCATGTGAGGAGCTTTCTCAGTCCAAAGTTCAGTGAGTGTGGGGTTTGAGTTAAGCCCCCAGTATACTCACGCGTACGTCCGTTCATGCGTACGTGCGCGTGTACTGTACGCAGAGGGTTCAGTCTTCATACTCCAGCGTCCACCCCGAGCAGCTGCAGAGCAGCTTCACAGACAAGGGGCGTTTACCTTCGGGACAAATTGATGTCGCCGATTGGTCATTTGCTGACACACCTACTGGATTGATTGACAGGTGGGGGGGACGAACGCTGGCAGCCTCAGCAGTGTTCTGTGTTTATATGTTGTTAATAAAAAGATTTTAGCTGGTCCTGCAGCCCACACATCAGACCAGCCCACCAGGAAATCTTCAGACCCTCCCGCAGCCACGCTGGACCTGAGTTTAATTCGCTCGTGACAAATTCCTTCATTTCTCACCATTTCAGTCATGGCATCAACGGAGGAGGAAGAGATCACTGCCTCTTGGCAAAAAAACTAAAGAAAAGGCCAGATCAGGATGAAGAAGGGGAATTTAATACATTAGTGTCGCATACAAAACAGTCCCTCGCCGAGCAGTTTATTGTGCGACACCACGTACGCGTATGTGGTCGTAAAAATTTGAGCTTTGTACGGACGTGCCCTGGGGGGTACGCTCGTACCTCTGCGTACGTACGTACAGGGCAGTATACTGGGGGTTTTAGTCTGACTCACAAATGGGCCACTCTGGTCCCATGAATGAAGATCTTGATTGGAGTGAAACTGACTGGGTATCGGTCCTAAAGCTGCAGTATGTTTTTGAAAGTTGACATCTGAGAACTCCTCCTCTGTAGGCCTGTCACAACAAATTTTGCTGGGCGATTGCCTCAGAAATTATTGCGGCAAACAATAATATTGTTTGAAATTTGACAATAATTAGTAATTATTGTCAAATTTAAGAAGAAATGTTGGTTAATTTTTGTGTGTAGTACCTTTTTTGCCCACTGATGGCAGTATAAGACCGTTTGAACTGAAGGATGGGGGGGGGGGGAGGTTTGTGAGCTCATTCATCCAGGTAGATAACAAAAGAAGGTAAAATCATTTCATCTAGACCAGTTTCTTTAAAGGAGAAACGTTTCGTCTTCCATCCAGAAGACTTCATCAGTCTGTTGCCTGCCAACCAGATCTGTCTCATAAGTAGCCTTCGTTGCTGTGATTGATGAAGTCTTCCAGATGGAAGACGAAACGTTTCTCCTTTAAAGAAACTGGTCTAGATGAAATAATTTAACCTTCTTTTGTTATCTACCTGGATGATTGAGCCTACAAACCTTTTTCTGAACCATTTTGGCTTTGGTGTCCTCAGGTGGTTTCTGTGAGTAGCAAGTCAGCCTTCTGGCCTAAAACATTTGATTGTTACACATGATGATTGATTGTTTTGGGCGGATGGGTCCTTTTGCATGTGTTAAAGCTTCTGAGATTCCAACAGGAGGTTGGCTTGAAACACAGCAATGAACACTACTTATGAGACAGATCTGGTGGGAAAGCCACAAACTGATGAAGTCTTCTGGATGGAAGATGAAACGTTTCTCCCTTAAAGAAACTGGTCCAGATTAAATTATTTAACCTTCTTTCGATCGAAGGATGGATAGTGAGGGAGCGAGCAGCGTGTTCCTTTAAGAAAAATGTGAGGGAGGGCCCTTGACGTGACATGGGCTGTCTCTCTTCGGTTCTCAAAATGGCGGATGCTCGGTGTGGTTCGAGCTCTTTAGCATAGCATGTGTCACACCAAGTTTTTAATAAAAATCAGTAAACAAGTTCTCAGCTGCTTTTTGCAGAGAAAAACAACTTTTTACACAAAGTCACGAGTTTCAAACGTGAATTTTGGAGCTTCGACAAGATGGAGGTTTTTTCCTGAGGTCGGACTTTTAGCTCGTAGCTTAGCTTCTCAGCTTAGCTGCTTTTAATGACATGATTTGTACGATTGAAACAGATTTTAAAGTGAAAGGGAGGGGTCAGTGACGAGCGCCGGAGTCGAGTCTTTTCTCATCGAGTGTCTTCAGTAGAAAGAGAGAGACACGAAGAAACGATGAAGACCATCAATGAAAATGAGGTCGATAATTTTCATTCATCCTGTGATTAATTGATTTATTGTTTATCGTGACGGGCCTACTCCTCTGTTTAAAGATGTTTTCTCTCTTTTTACATAAACTGCTTCCTTCACCCCTCTCAAACCATCTGTCTTCTCAGTCCAAAATGAGAAAATCCTGGTCCTCAGAAGAGTGTCCCTTCTCCCTGAGGTGTTGAGACGAGTCTGTGTTTTCCTCCTCGTCCTCATGTTGCACAGCTGCTCCTCATTCTAATCACCGCAGGTGTCCCTCCTCTCACGTCATTAGTGTCAGTATTTAGTCTGTGTGTTTTCACTCTTGGTGTCCCAGCATTACATACATCTACCCTCCTATCTAAATTCACTCTCCAAGCCTTCCAAGGTGTCCTGGGTCTGGTTTCCTCCTCCTCACTCAGAAGTAAGTTTTTGCTGCCCCGTTCAGCACTTTAATTTTGATCAATAAATTATTTGTTTATTTTTCTATTCCTGAGTCCTCATGCCTCGGCCTGCACTTGGGTTCGACACCCAACACCAGACCTTAACAGGTGTAGGTGAACAGCTGAGCGTGGTCCTGAGGAGGTGGCTCTCCTGTGTTGAGCCATGCGTCTGTGGAGAAGATGTCTAGTTTCTCCAATGTAGAGGTCTGGACAGTCCTCGCTGCGCTGGACACCACACCACTCTGTTGGTGTTTGGGTGGAGCAGCCTCTGTCGGAATCCTGTTGGGCTTGAAATGCACTGGGATGTTGTGCTTGTTGAAAATCCTTCTGAATGTGTAGTTTTGAAGATGACTGGAGCTGAACGGAGGATGTAAGCTAAACCACATCAAAACACACAGATGTAGCCACACCAAATGGAAGTCGGTACCACACTCAGTTTCAAGTTATCAAGCTCACAACATGCACAGGCAGAGGGTGTTTCCAGTTCCCCCTCTTCGTCACGTGACGGGGGAACTCTTTCTGTGTCCCACTGGTGTGAACGAACGCTACATTAGCCGATATTCAACCTCTACATTTGACATTGTTACGACTGTTGAGTTTGTCACGGTTTCCTAAACCGCCTGACGTTATATGTTCTTATATTGCATCGTTTGCAGCAGGAAGTGCTTGTGTTGATGTGAGGCCATGTAAAGATTAGTGAACGAGGATGGTGCTCGGAGCTGACCTGCATCTGGGAGCCCAGGACTGTGTTGTTGCAGGCCAGCTCGGTGCGGCTGATGGTGTCCATGCTGTCAAGTGGCGCGTGGATCTGCGTGGAAGAAGGTGGAGTCGTGGTGCCGCTCTCTACCTTGGAGACCGTGGAAGAGGCAGAACGATGGAGCTGGAGCAGGGTCAGGATATCTGCGCTGTACTGGTTAGCCTGAGCCTCCTCATACTGGTCTGTCCACTGGCGGATCCTGCTCTCCCAGCCCTCTGCTGTGTTTTCATCCAGCACGCTGGCCTCTGTCGTGGAGTTCTACACCCAGATAGTAAGCAAATGTTGTGATGGCAGCTTGTCTTACAGAAAGAAACATCAGTGAGGAAAGACTTTAGTTTAACCTTCATCCTCATGGATTTTCTTGAACCCTCACGAAAAGCCTGAAAGAAGGAGCAACAACAAACTGTTCCATGTGACTAACCTACAACAAAACAGCAACGCCATGATTATCTTCACTTCTGTGACTTCTCGTACCTTCACTTTCTTCACCTTCGGTGTCCCACGAATCTTCTCTGTGCTCTTCTTCCTCTTCTTGGATTTTCTGCTCTTGACCCGGTTGACGGTGAGTTTTATGCTGGTGGGTGTGTGCTGGGTGGCGGTGTAGGAGATGGTGGACGGTGACACCTCTTCGTCGCCACTCTCTGTGGCGCTGCTCTCTCCAGCTGGGACAGAAAGGCAGCAGCAAGTCAGGAACACAACCACCACTAACCTCCTTCAGATGAAGTGTTAAATGCCCCACCTGAAACATTTTCAGGTTTTCTGTGTTTGTGTTCTGCCCCTTTCCTCCGGTCCAGCTCTCTGCAACACAAACACGCCTGCAGGTCAGAAAACACTTGCTGCTTGAACTTTGTGCACTGAAAAGCATTTCTGTGCCAGAGCTAGCCAAAAGGCGATTTTTAATCTGCAGTCTGCGGACAGAAACAAGCAGCAAGACAAAGTTTTGTTGTAAAACGTAGTGGTTGTAAAGTTTGTAGCTGTGGAGATGATCATGAAGTTTCTCTGGCCAGGAACTGAACAGAGAATCAAAGTAAACCTAAATGTTTCTGGTGCAAGATATTGAAGTGACAGTGTGGAGAAGATCAGAGGGACGTTTGTGTTTTCTCTTGTCTGAGGCAGCACAGTGACCGACAGACATTCATCCACCACCACGTGCAGTGACGGAGCCAGGGGGTGGCCAACGGTGGCCTTGACCACCATAGATTCATCTTTGGCCACCCTAATTATTTGAGGAAACTTTACTTTTAAGCAACATAAAAACTAGAAAGCCTAGTTTCTTCAAATACTGAGGTATTTCCTGTATGGCAGTGGCCATATGAAATTTTGATGTGGCAACCCAAATGTCAAAAGAAAGTTTTCTTACACCTACATGTAGCCACACACCAGAATGGAAGTCTGTACCTTCACTTACTTTTTAAGCCGTCACGCTCACAACAAGCACAAATGAACTGGGGTATTTCCACTTCCCCCCATCTGCTCAGTGATGGGGGAACTATCAGAAGTGGAAACAATTCAAGAAGTTTCCTCTGAAAGGACTAGATCAGAACAAAGTCCTGCTCAGTTTGTCCTAATGTGTGAACGACCACCTGAACGCTGGTTGTAACTGAGCTGATAGACTGCCTTCTTGTTTTCACTTGATGTTTAAAGACCTGTGTTCTGTTAGGAATGCATATCGCCCGCCTCTCATGCCAGAGTTCAAGACAAGTTTCTTTAACAAGAAGGGACCAAGCATTAGCCAAGTCAAACCTTATAAAGGATGTTGTGTGCGACCTTACTGGATGGTAGCACTCAGGAGTGTGTTGGGGCGATGCTCAGCTACTACCACACCAAATGTTGGCTCCGTGTTTGTACAATGATTGAGTTAGAGCCATGTGGTCAATATGGCAGACATGTTGAACTGGGTTCACGCCAACTGTCGGTGATAAGTTTCTGGTCCAGGCTGAACCCGTGTTACATCAGTGTAACAACTGTTACACAAACATTCTATCAAAGCCACCGGCTCGACCCCGTCATGTGCGCTCTTACTTTTATTGGCATTTCGAGTTACCATGGTGACGTAATTTACAAAGATGCTATTTTTCACTCTTCACACCCTCTGACACAAGCTATGTTCACATGGACATAAGTAATGGGATTAAACGGCCATTCAGAATAAAAACGCGTCATATCGGATTTTTTTTTTGTTGTTGATTTAGCTCGATCTGAAAAAAAATCTGTAATCTGAATGAGACGGGTGGTTTAAGTCGAGTCATAATTTTCAGATTGAGGAAAAGTGACCTGACTGCACATGTGCGACCCGTGTCTGTCTCACGCATTTCCGCCTGGCTAATGCTAATGCTAATAATGTTAGCATGTCGGGAAGCAGAACTGTTCGGTGAGCGACATCATTTCTACTAGAAACTTAGAACGAGCTCAGAATGATGTGTCGCCTGCAGCTCAGTCAGGGAGCGCAGCAACGTCTCCACCGTCATTAAAACCTGTCGCGGGTCCATTTTGGTGCTCAGGTTTGTGCACGTTCATCCTAGAAGTAGAACTTCTTCTTCTTCTGTGTTTTTAAGGAGAGTTTACCACGCTGCACCTGTCAGTACTGCTGTTCAGAACAAAGCTGCAGGTAAACGCTCGTCGTGAACAGATTGAGCCCATGTCAACATTTGGATTATTTAATCTGAAAACATTTCAATCCGGTCAAAGAATTTTGCACATGTAAACATAGCTACAGTGATGTCATGTGACCTTGAGTGGAGAGGTCTCTGAACAAAACACTGATTAATGTTTGGAGCCATTTTGGATCAAGATGGCTGCCACAGCCACCTGAGAAAACTCAAAACTGACCAAGTCGGACATTCTTGGAGATATTGAGCTGAAGTCTGATGTGGTGGTAGCTGAGAGCGAACCCCAGCACGGTACTGTCAAATGAACATTTTTACACGGTTGCAACGTGGCTGTCCTCGTCAAGGTTCCTCCAGGAACTTTCTAGTTCTTGTAGTTCTTATCCTTATTCCATTGTAGTAAATACTAAAAACAACCTTTATACTTTTCAGACTGCAGGAACAAATTGAGTAATAATTAAAAGGTTGATATTTTAAAATGAAATGAGCAATAGTGTTACACTGATGCCTGCTTGACTCTGTGAGTGCAGGATCCAGGTGATGGGGTGGGGGGTCCATCTCTCACCTGCACTGACATGCGTCGTGCAAGCTGTCGGGGGCCGGGCTGCAGCGGCACCAGCTGGGTACGGCTCCGTCTTCCTCTGAGGAGCTGTCGCTGTCGGCCGAGTTGTCCTCCGTCGGTTCGTGGTATCGGGAGGTACGAACCATGCCGTTGAGATCCATGTGGGGAATGATGGTCTGGGAAAGTGGAGAGGCAGGTGGGGTTGGGGGAGGGGGTGCGCCATAGTTGTGATCCTGACAACACACAACGGAAGACTGTTGCATCTTCAAACAAAGGGTGTTCAGGCAAAAAGGGAAACGGAAAATGGAGACAAATGAAAATGAGGGCAAAAACACAGGAATGTGAAACAGTACAGCTGTTAATCCCAAACGCAGTCTGAACACAGAAGACTAACAGCAGGAAACATGCACCTGCTGCACTTTACTGCAGTACTTAAACACATCAAACATTTTAAAAGATCAGGAACAAAAGAAAAGAGTAGGTATTAATGTTTCAAATGTTCAGAAATGCAGTCATCTGATTAAAAATGAAACAATCCATCATACAATACGACATGCTCAGATTAGAAAGTAATCTGTGTGAACTCACAGCATACGGTAGTCCCTGATAGGCATGATTCTGTGCACTCCCGCAGCTCTGGTTGTTGTAGTTCTTTTCATGCACTGCAGGGCTCGCTTCCACTGACTCAGGGCTGACGGACACACAGAACACATGCTCATTCCAACACGGCTCTACAGAAACCTAGTGGCATGACGAGCCGTCACTGGATGGTGCTCTGAAGCAGCACATCACACGACTATGCTGCAAACATTTGTGCCTAAAGATTCCAATTCAAATATACAAGTCAGAGTGAGCACAGCAACTTGCTTGAATAAAAACATGCATGCTGACAGAGTAACAGATCAGAGCCTGCATGAGATGGAGGCCTGCTGCATTCCAGTGCAGCTCAGACCCGTCAGCGGGTTTCCAACATAAATGCACCAACAGGTTATTCTGGGCCATCTGAACTCATTTCCTCTTACACAACTCAACGTTTAGGCTCTAATGTGGAGAAACGAGTCCAGTTGCTCAAGAGCCACCAGAAACCTGCTTTTATTACCATTTACATTTCTGCATACATGTTTGTTCATAAGTTTCAAAGTTCAAATAAAGCATCGTTTCAGACATAACTGCTTCCTGCTGAGGGAGCAGCAGACATTTGTGACTGAGCCTCCTTTTCCTTAAAAATAAGTTTGAGTTAGACCCAAACAAACCTTTGTTGGCTTTAAAACCTGGTTAACATCTCATTTACTTCAAAAACATGAAAAAAAACACTTCAAATCAATCGAGTCCACGCTTTGGGAACAATCAGGCACGTGTCTGACTCAAAACAAGTAAAATGTGTAACAAAACGGTGTAGATTCACGTCTTCCACCAAACTATACCTTTGCATCTTTGGTCATTTGGTACCCAGACTTCTGGGGCATGTGGGGCTTCTTCATAAATACTTGTGACCTGGTCATTAATCTAATGAAGAACAATTAAATGTTGATTATTATCAACATTTACGTGGTAAAGCCACAACAACTGGGCTGCAGCCTTAAATGTTCTCAGATTAACTCTGAATCTCACAAATTTAAACACAAACTTTTATTCAAATCAAGATACAGTAATTCCAGGACTATAAGCTGCCATTGTTTCACAGGCTTTGAACCTCACAGCTTAAACAATGCTAAGACTAATTCATGGATTTATTTTTAAATTTTTTGACGGGCTAACAAGCTTCATGCCGCCAAAACATTTAGCCTCATCACACCCGGGCACTCACATAGCTGCCCAATACATGTTGCTCTTGGTGGAGGGGGGATGATCCTCGTGACTAAATGACACTACCTGTATGAACAGAGGTTAAAAAAATTCTGGCCAATGAAATCACCAAACAGGTCACGGTCCACCAGTGATCCACCATTTTGTGTTCAGGCACAAACAAACCCCCCACCCATTCCCCCCATTGTCTGCAAGATTCCACAGTCATTGTGCGCCCTCCCTGGGGGCACAACGCACCCCCCATCTGTGGTCCACACTGCGCTCAACCACCTGGAGCAGAAAAACTCTTACGTCCGTATGCTCTTTGTGGACTTCACATCTGCCTTCAACACCATGATCCCCCAAACCCTGATGGACAAACTATCCACACTAGGACTAAGCCCCTCCATCTGCAACTGGGTACTAGACTTCTTAACAAACAGACCACAGTTAGTGAGGATCCACAACTTCTCCTCCTCCACCATAACCCTCAGCACTGGCTCTCCTCAGGGATGTGTGTTGAGCCCCCTCCTGTTTACTCTGCTCACGTATGATTGTGCAGCTACCCATCCAGGCTGTCACATTGTAAAGTTTGCAGATGATACAGCGGTGGTGGGATGCATCACAAACAATGATGAGTCCAGCTACAGGCAAGAGGTGGAACACCTGGAGAGCTGGTGGAGAGAGAATAACCTTCACATCAATGTGAAGAAGATGAAGGAGATGATTGTGAACTTCAGAAGAAACAAACACCTACACACCCCTGAACATAAGAGGATCTGCAGTGGAAGTGGTCTCCAGCTACAAGTACTTGGGTGTACACCTGAACGACAACCTCAGCTGGAGCAACAACACCATCAGCCTGATCAAGAAAGCTCATCAGAGACTCTACTTCCTCAGACGGCTGAGGCGAGCTGGTCTGGAAGCTCAGTCCTCACCTCCTTCTACAGGTGTGCAGTGGAGAGCATCCTGTGCTCCAGCATCAACGTGTGGCATGGAGGCTGCACAGCTGCAGAAAGAAAAGCTTTGCAGAGAGTGGTGAAGGCTGCACAGAAGATGCTGGAGTCAGTCTCCCCACCATCTCAGACATCTACACCTCCAGATGCAGGAAGAGGGCCACCTGCATCATGAAGGACCACACTCACCCAGCACACACACTTTCTGCTCCGCTCCCCTCAGGAAGGAGGTTGAGGAGCATTAAGTGTAGAACCACTAGACTGAGGAACAGCTTCTACCCTGAGGCTGTTAGACTCATGAATCTCTAACTAGAATAATCACTGTGAAAAATCACATCATCTTGCTGCTGATCTGTTTGATGTTGCTGCTGATCTGTTTCATGTTGCTGATCTGTTTCATGTCGCTGCTGATCTGTTTCATGTTGCTGCTGATCTGTTTCATGTTGATGTGTTCATGCATGCTTATCTGCTCAGACTGATTCATGTTCATATTCATGCTGCTATTTGACGTAAAGTTTTATGCTATTAGTGCTACAAAGAAATAATCTGTTTGAAGAGTTTCAGTCAGGGTTTAGAGCTCATCATAGCACAGAAACAGCACTAGTAAAAGTCACTAATGATATTCTCATGGCCTCAGACAATGGACTTGTGTCTCTACTGGTCCTGTTAGACCTCAGTGCTGCATTTGATACAGTTGATCACAATATTTTACTACAGAGGCTTAAATATGATGTTGGGATTACAGGAACAGCTCTAAAATGATTTAAATCATATCTATCTGATAGATTCCAATTTGTA